GCCATTTAAAAACTAACAGGTACTGAATGATAAAACCTGATATGTTGTTTCATAGAAATAAAATTATCAAATCATGCATCTGTTTAAATTATGGTTAATGTTCCTCTTCACATGAGACTTTTCTGCCTGGTACTCTGAAAAATGACAACACATTCTGTGGTCTTTAGCTCAGGCTGACTTTTAAAAGCAATACCTTTGTAAAAAAGGCAACTTCTCATTTCTGGAGTCAGAAATTAAAGGTGTGCTAATGGCCCTTTTGTTACATTGCAGTAGCAGAAATCAAGTTGTATCAGTAAAAACCCTGAAAATAATCACATTTTCATTCCCGGTGGGGATGTCAAGCTGCTTATTAAGTCTGGCTTGACTAGTTGGGAGCACTGATAATTTCTAATGTAATGTATGCACTGAGGACAGGCTAATATCAAAAATGTTTAGGGCCTGGGAGTTTTTCCAGGAAAATTAAGATGTCAGTTAATTGACTTTTTTTTTTCTGCCTGGTTTGCATTGAAGACCTCCACAAATCCATTTTTCAGTTTTTCATCTCCCCCCCTGTGCTCCCTACAGATGTCATTATTTTCAGTGGAAAACCCTGCACTTCTCCCTCCTCTTCTTCCAATTAGCTGTAATTTTAACAACATTAGCAGCAAAGTAGGTACCTTGAGGGCAAAAATCTGGAAAGCGGCAGAGTGTGGAAGGGAACAAGAGATGCTATTATAATGAAAGCAAGTGGACACATCATGCTGCTTCATGTGCTCATCTGGGCATCCTTAGGGCTTTGCAGGCTGATTTCTGTTTTCCCTAGGCATGCCAAGAAAGGTGGTGACCAGCTGCTCTTGCCTCTCCCACAACTCTCCAGGGCTACCCCTTGAACTGAGAGGTAAGGGAAGGGCTGTGTTTCAGCTTCTCCTTGTGCCTCTTAAACATATGCCTTTTAAGCGTATGCCAGCCTGGCATAAGTGGATCCAAAATAAAAACACACAGTTTAGGTCACGAAAATCTGGTAGTTCTGATGTTCTGAAGGGGTAACTGGGGTTCTTAAATACATATACTGAGAATCTCTCTGCCAAGAAAACAAATACACTAAGATTCATTTTGGAAGTGAAAAAGGCAACACATGCCAGCAGTTGTGGCATGCAAAAGGCTTCTTGCTCTGAGTAAGCTTTGAGCAATAAACCTCTTTTGCAGAGAATTTTTCATTAAAAATCTGGGTTCAGGGAAAATCTCCAAAATGGATCTTTTTTTCAACTGTCTTTTCAATTTTGCACAGTTGGATAAGGAAGGAAGTCAGGACTGCTTGCCAGATAAAGTGACATTAAGTACATTTGCCGGAAATCTATCTGCCTTGCTTCTTAAAAAGAAAACAAGAAACAGAAAAAATACAAACCAAAACAAACAACAAAATCCCCAAACACCCACAACCGAGAACAAAAGGATCAGAAACCCGCTCCAGCAATGTTGAGTGACAGAGCATGGAGAGACTTCGGAGCTAATGTCCCTCAGAAGGTAGTGTTGCTGGTCAAGCAAGGCTAAACTGGAGGAATTTAAGCAGAGTTTAGGACTAGGCGTTTTGCACAGCGAAGTACCTGCGGAGGGACCAGCCTAGAGGCGGGCAGGAAGAGTTATTCTCTTAGAAATATCTTGTCGCAACAGTAATATAGCATCTCACCTCATCATCTTCTTCCTTAATCTCTACCTGTCTCCTAGAGCTTACCTTTCCATATTGCCCTTCTCTGTCTATTGTGACCTACAAGGAAACACCTTTTCTATTTTGGAAGCCTCCTGATTTTCTCTAGTCCTGCTTTGCAGGCAGGCACTTGCCCTGTGAAGACTACCTGAGTGGTCTTTCCCTGGCAGCCTGATCTCCATTGCAGCCCACCTATGGAGCATGGTTGGACACAAAATGTTCCTATCCATCTCTTCGCCCTGCTGCTTTCAGCTGGGGGGTTTCATGTTTGGGAAAATATGAAGAAATACTTCTGTTCACAGACAAGTTGAATTCTGGTATGAGTTATCTGAGTTTTTAAGCAGTTTAACAAGAGGTGCAACATGAAACTTTCTGGAAACAAATGGGAAGAAAATGCTAGTAAAGTCAGACCAATAAACCTGAACATGGCCCACACCCTCCTATTTGCGAACTGCCTGCCCAATATTTTTGGATCCAGTTCAGCAACCAGTGGTGGTGTGGAAAACTGAACTCTTGATGAGATTGCAGCATGAAAGAGCAGGACAGGAACTCGGTTAAACCCTTACCTTCCTGTGGCCATGCAGACATACAGATGGCAGGCAACTGCATGCTGCCTGGCATGAAAGCCACCATAAACTTTGGGCATGCCTCTAGTTTCTGCTGCACTGTGAATGTACAAGGGAGGGGAACACATCAACTCACTAAACACATTAGCAAGGACAGAAATTTTTTCTCCCCCATCCAAAATACAATCTCTTACAGAAAATAGAAGGACAAACCAGGCTTCACAGAGACAGCAGTTCTTTAAGACAGCCTTCTTCGATCAAGGGAGCAGCTGAGAAAAGTGGTGTCACTCAGAAGACACCATACAGATACAGTTATGCAAGCAGCAGAAAGCATGAGATTACAGAAGGACCTGGTTACAGAAGGACCTGGAGAACCTAAATCAAATGCCAAAGTACCTGAGTGCAAATAACTTCCTCACAAAGGAGGCGAGAGAGAGAAGAAAACACAATCTAGATATATCTATACAAAACTACAGAAAAAAAATTAGTAATTCCTCCTTGGAGTCAATATACCTTTGCAGTTCCGATGACATTATAGCAAACTAGTTAGAGTTGATGTACAGGCTCTCATAGATTTCAGATATCTTTAAAACAGGCTCTTTTTGATGGTATATTGTAAAAAATATCAGTCTCCTGATTCATTTCACAGTTACCACCTGTATTTGGTAATTATTCCTCAAGAAAAAATAACCAGTGTCAAAGGAAAATGTGTTAAGGAAAACTTAAGGGTTTTCCCTAGGAACATCAATCTACTGAAACAGCATTCCTACAGGAAACTGCCTCATGCTTAAAAGTTGCTGCACTGCTGTTTTGTTTTTCTCTAATGAAGCCCTATCTCAGAAGTGATAAGATTTATTGGCCAGTTTATCACCTAAAGAGGAAATGAAAGATGAGAAATGAGACTCTCGTACGCCGCTGCACATAGTAGCTCATTTAAACCCACCAATGTAATTAGCACTTGTACAAAACAGAACAAAGAAATTGGAACATCAAGAATACTTCCATCGTATATTCTGGAGTTTCTACCTTTGAAACCTTTCTACAATACTTCAATGCAGATTTAATATATGTGACTATATAAAACATACAAATCCAGGCTAGTGCCTTTTAGTTGATGGTAGAAGTTGGAGTTCTCTGTGACCAATGGCTAATAAAATAATACTTGTTTTACCAGCAAAGAGCCCTGTAGATGTTAAAGCAGACAACCTACACAGCGCCATGATGGGGCTTATTGAGAATTCCTCTTTATGGGGACTGAAGGGAAAAGGTAAGGAAAGCCTGCAAGTGTCCTACCCACTGTCCCATTGAGAGAAGGTATTTGGGTGTTCTAGACAAGGCACAGCAATAGAAAGACAGAGCACAACTGGAAAGAAAAAAAAAGGTTTTTTCAGGGAGGCAGAAGTCATATAATCAAGCAGGGTAAAAGAACTCTCTTCAGATCCCTTAAGTGTACTGCCCTGGACCACAGCTGCAGTTGGTGGCCGGACTTGTTTCAGTCAGTGTTATAAACATCCTCCCTGTATTCTCTGGTGCAGTAAATCACTTTAAGTGGGAGGAACTATGAAATTAATATCCTTTCCTCTCTCACAGTCACAGCACTACTTTCCCTATGACCACATCAGAACCCTCAAACAGTCACTATGTAATTATGGGAAGCTCATCCTCCATTTCAGCAAGTTATGTTTCCACCCTACCCTCTCTTCTGTGCAAATGTGGACAACAGTAAATAAAGGAATAGTTCTTCTGTAGCCATCATGTTCTTCTAGATGTTACAGAAAAGCTTTTGGTGATGAGTCCCTGCCGTCCCACATGGTACCCGCTCACACCACAAAGTGGCAGACACATGAAGCACGTGCTCCTGCAGTGCACGCCAGCAAACTTGGCTGGTCCTTCTGCAGCACAGGATGATCATCTGAGATGGTATCTCTACAAAAGGGCCACAAGACGTGAGAACAGAGCTAACCACAAAACTTTAGGTGCCACAATTCTCAATCACTTTTGAGAGAAAAGGGGTGGTTTAAGGCAGTTTCTGAAGGAGAGATTCTGAAGGGGCAGATTCCCAGCCAGAACAGTGTCCCTTCTTCCTTGTACTCTCTGGCATCCATCTTTGGAGTAGTCTAAAACAAGTACTTTGAAACACCCAGGAACTTGACACGATTTTAAGTCCATATACAAATACTAAATATTCCTGGTTTCCAAAAGATAGTTCACACCAGCACCTCTTGACAGCTAATTAACTTTGTCCATTTACATGCTTTTAATTTTCAGACCCGGCACCTTGACCTATCAGATCAGATCAAGAATAACAATGAGCATTTTGCCTTTAAGGTGAAACGACATCCTAAAGCCTGAACTTTATTACTGAGGTCTTCTAAAATCTGCCCCATCATGGCCCCCAGTTTCAGCACATGATTAAATTTAGTCTTAGCTGGAGCAACAGAAGCTCTAAGGACAATTCTGAGGATATCTTTTCTTTAGGACTGTTACTGGGTGTTTAATGAGGCAAATGTGTGATCCTATAATGTGTAATAGAGACATTTGATGAATTGCAACAAAGCTGAAAGCCATTATGTAGATGGTATTACATTAGAAACCTCACCTGTGTTCCACATACACCAACCTCAGCTCTCTAATGCAAAGCTGTCACATATACACTCAACAGATTAATAGGAAAATTTACTCTACATACCTCAAAGACCCCCATTTTAAAATGTACTTTTAAAATATGTTCTGTACAGCTGTTGTCTTACCATTTGCCTTGTGCTGCACATCTGGCGGAAATTGGTCAGGAACATACCACTGATAGTCTGGCTGCACAGAACAATAAAACATTATTACAGCAATATGGACTTCATAGACACTTCAAACAAAATAATAGTGACATGATAAAAATATAATTGTGCCGTGAAGTTTTTTTTGTTAGTCATACAAAAGTGGTTTACAAAAAAAATCTTACATTTAGCTTTATATTTCCACTGCTCCGAGTCTTTCAGCTTGCTTGCTTTTTTATGACATGTGGCTCATATGCTGCACTCATTTGAAATATTGGTGTAAACCTTTCTAGATCCCACAAAACAAAGAAACATGAACAGAACCAAATCGGATTTTAAAAGGGCTAAGGAATAAAGTGCACCAGAAGATACTAGCAGGCATCACATTCTCTGTACTAAAGAACTCCTGGAGAAACCTGGTACCTATCGATCTGACAGGTGAAGCTGTTCTAGTCTGAGTATGTGCAACACCTGTAACATGTTTCAGCGTGACAGGAATAACACAACTAACAAAGTTCTCTTCCCGTGTCCCCTCCCCACAGGTTAGCATTAGCCTTACTATAACACTGGCTGTTACCAAATAACTTCTTGAAAATACTATGGGGTGGGAAAAACCCCTGTCTTATAGAAGGGAACATTGGGAAGGTTATATCCAGGCAAACATAGTTTTGTCCAGGGAAATCCTGGAAAGAAGAATTACTGCATTATAGTTCATACCACACACTGTGGTAAATGAGTAGCAAATTACCACTAGAGAAAACGGTTTTGGAACTAGACATTTCAGTTGAAGCTGTATTAAGCTGTCTATCTGGTTTAAGTAGTACATGCAAGCTTGTCAAATTCCACATAATTACTGCTTCAAATTAGTTAAACTGGGAAAATAAGCCCTGTTTTGCAGAAATTACCCTGATAAAATCCTGAGTGATCCCAAGGAGACTCTTACAGATTTCAACTTGTAGGGAAGAAATTTCATAGACTTCTAAGTAAGTTTTGCCTAAATTAAGATGGCAGGATGAAGCTCTAAATACAGAAAACAGGTTTAACTTTTCCGTATGCTGTCACCCATAGTTACATAGCAGTAATCGCTCTCATACATTTCCTCTGTCAGGAAAAAAGGAGCTATCCTATTTTCACTTAAACTATATCATCCACAGGAATTATTAACTAATTCTGTGCTTGTTGACAACCAAATTAGGCTTTCATACAAAGCAAGACTGCTTTTCTTTAAGCACAGGTAGTTTTTCTACTGATTGCTCAAAATACACTTGTTTGCATTGCTATTTTGAGTTTCTGTTGCATTTTCTGATTTACTCATCTCCTTCATAACTACTTACGCTATGCAAACCCGAACGAGTTTCAGAAACAAGAGGTGTATTTCATGTCAGACTAAACAAAACGCTTCTACTAACAATATAAAAAATAACTTAGAGGTATGAGATATAAAAAGAAGGAAAAAGCAAAAGCACAGACTAAACACACAGGATTACATACGTTAACTCAGCACACATTAAATTCTAACACCTTTCTTCATTGCTAACAAATTGCTCAGGGAGGTATCAAGAGCCCAGAGCAGCAATGCTGCACTTACACAGACAAAGAACCTCAAAGAAAACCCAGAATGAAACTGGGAGTTACAAAGCAACCAGTTAAACTGACCCCAGCACTCTGGCAGGAATGGCAAAGTTGTAAACCCAGTGATCCCTTGAAGAATTAGAAACCCAGATGATGGAAGTTCGGGGAGAAGAGCCAAAATAATCTGGGACAGTGTCCAAATTGCAGTGAAAAACATTCTGCAATACTTCCAACTCTGATAAACAGGGAGATAAGCTCACTCCTGAAGCATAGATATGACTTGTCTGACCACAGGTTTTCCACTGGATTTCTCCAGTCGGAAAGCCTTATGTGTGTGTTGCAAAAATTCAGCTATAATTTCTCAAATAACGAGCATCTTTCCATATGCGACAGCTTTATTGCCAGAACCAGATACTGTGTATTTAAAATGACATTCACCATGTTTAAATGCCTCCTCACTACATTCGAACAAGCACAGTCCACTTAGATAACCCAAAGCACCTAAAAAGTATCATCCTTTGAAGCAGGATTTTCCTTGAAAGAGGTAACTCCCCCTCACATAACCTGTCCTAGTGCAAACCTTCTTCATGCTGAGGAAGACAGGACCCTGGTGTGTGCAAGAAAACCAGGAAAATTTCCCATTGTATTAGCCACACTCAGATATAACTTCCACTTCTGCTGATTTGGTTTTTCTTTAATTTGAGGGGGTTCTTTTCAATACACGCAGTTGTTTGGGAAAATTGCATTCCTAAAGCATTCACATCCACAGTGCTTCACCCTCAGCAGAAGCTTCTTCCTCACGTAATCCTGTTTCACAGCAGCGTATTAGAGGGAAGATACTACTGGGTATGAGCAACAGCATCTGAGATCTCCCCGTTCCAGTTTAATAGCAACATTGTGAACCCTGATGGCAGCTTGCCTGCCAGCTCCAGCCTGTTACAGGGAACACGGGCTCATGTAGTGTGGCTACAGTGGCACTGCCTGATGGCAGGATGATTACCTGTGAATACAGAAGCAGTGAGTGAAGAAGGGAAGTCTTTTTCCAAAGACAGTGCCAGAGAAAGAAACATTCCAGTGTAGTCAACAAGCTTTCTAAGACTGAATAGAGGGAAGGACCAGAATAATGCTGACCACTGCTACATTCTCATTTTTGTCATTACCACTATGTCGAAGGCCCAGAAGGCTCCAGAGAATTTTTACTCTGTGAAATTCAGTATTGAAGATACTGGAATAGCAAGGAAGAAAAGAATACAACTCTCAAGAAAAAAACAGCGTTTCTTCCTTTACAGATGTTAAGGGAAGAGAGACTGTACAGAGATCACCAAGGCTGTTCCAGACCTATGGCTAATAAACCAGTATAAAATCTTGATCTAGAAGTGACAACAAATTAGGAAATAACAGATTTAGTTACTAGTGAAGATGGCACTGTGATTGCACCGGGTTATTCTCCCACGGTCACCCCCACTGTGAGCAAACCAGTGCCCTTGTGAAATGGGAGATGGTGGGAATCTTACTGAATGCTGTTGCTGCTCGTGTGCCCTGTGAGATGCTGGATGGACTTGAGCATCTTGATAGTGAAGAACTAGCCCACAACTTCTGTAATTAGCACATGGTGAGAGGAAGAGTGGAGGTGGGTAGCTGGGCCTCTCAAACTGTACCGGGAGATCTTTTGTCTGTCAAAAAATAAGACAAGCAAGAAGAAATGCATTAGCAGCAGGATATGATGACCAACACAATATTCACAAATAAATTAATCAGTAAAAAGCAATGGGGGAAAAAAACCTCCCTCTCTTGGCATGGGTGTCAATGCTGCTAGTTTAGACCCTTCAGACTTCATGATGTAAAAAAATCAATCAATAAAGCTGACTTGTGCCACACCTTAACACTTTTTATGTGAGAAAATATTGGTTTCAAGATATGGCAAGCACATATCTGGGTGTTTTCTATATTCAAAAAGTGTTTTCGTTACATATATTAGCTTTCAACAGTTTGAAGCAGAACTACACGCACAGGCACTTGCATAGCAAGAAAAAGAAATAATTGTGGTAAAGCACCAAAGTTGATGGCCTTGAGATTTAGGTTTGTCTGCCTTGTCTTAGGTTCTCTGTGTCCCAGCAGTGACCAGGAATCTGCCTTAAGGACAGAGCAAGGAGGGGTAAAAGATGATTTAACATTCTATGATTCTGTGAGTCACTACTAAATAATTTGACTTAAGAAAACAAACCAATAAATATTCTGTATGGTTCCTCACATGCTTTAAATCCTTCACAAGCTGTGTTTAATCAAATCCCAAGGCAGGAAGAGACAAACAAGATGATCTCTAGTGTAAACTGTTGATGCAATGCAGGGACAGTCATGTTGTACGCACACATTACACAGCACTAGTACAGTACTTTGGGTATGCTATACACATGCAGTTCTGTTGGCATCTTCCTTCGTCCAGAGTGGCTGGGAAGGAGTGAGAAAGGCCTTTCAGCCCTGCTTGTAGACACCCCCTCCCCTTCATTGTCGCTGCTGTGAATCCATTGATTGACTGGGGTTGTGCAAGAAATTTAACCTCTGACAGTCTCTAGACAATGCAAAAATATATAGAAAGGTGTCTTTGAGTACTCCCTCCTACAAAACCTTCTCTTTACCTTCCTTCAACTTGCAGGTTGAAGGAAGTGATCCTGCCCCTCTACTCTGCTCTTGTGAGATCCCACTGGGAGCACTGTGTGCAGTTCTGGTGTCCACAACCTAAGAAGGACATGAAGCCTTTGGAGCAAGTCGAAAGGAGGCCACAAGGATGATAAGGGGCTGGAGCACCTCCCGTATGAAGACAGGGTAAGAAAGTAGGGGCTGTTCAGCCTGGAGAAGAGAAGCTGTGTGGAGACCTTTCGGTCTGTAGAAGAGAAGCTGTGTGGAGACCTCAGAGCAGCCGTCCAGTATCTGAAGGGGCCTACGAGGATGTCAGAGAGGGACTCTCCATCAGAGACTGTAGCAACATGACAAGGGGTAATGTGTTTAAACTTAAACAGGGGAAGTTCAGGTTGGACATAAGGAAGAACAGGCTGCCTAAAGAACTGGCAAATGCTCCATCCCTGGCAGTGTTCAAGGCCAGGCTGGACAGAGCCTTGGGCGACATGGTATAGTGTGAGGTGTCCCTGCCCATGGCAGGGGGGTTGGAACTAGATGATCTTAAGGTCCTTTCCAACCCTAGCCATTCTGTGATTCTATGAACCACCCAGGAGTGGGCTGGTCAGTTTGGGAAATATACCTTAAAATTATTGCATACAATGTTAACAGATTTGTCCAAGGATATTTCCATATCCTGGCATGCCCTGAATGGCAAATCATTACATTCCCTCTGGTATTGCTATTTTTACACTTGCATGAAATGCTTCCGAGCACTCATAAAAGCACTGACAACCCAGGGCCTGTACTGCAGCAGTGCCCAGTATCAGCCAGGATGCCCAACCTGCTCTCCACTCCAATGGGAGGAAGTTGTGCTTGACAGCACCTTGCCTCAGATACTATTGCAAGACCCTACTAACCTGGATGTATGGGTTGGCTGAGAATAAGCCAATACTGAAGTTTCTGTTTCACAACAATGTTGGGAGGACAATAAATCATCACAGAACATTTTGGTAATTGGACATTCTTTTAAAACATTGCACAATTTTGTCAAGACAGGAAACCTCAAAATTTCATCAGTTTTAAAGGGGGTATTAAGAAAGCCCAGAGTTTTGTATGCCATGATTTTACTATGGCTGCCTGGATGTCTGTGAACAGAATACTGACACTACTGTGAAGAGATAAAAAGGGTATTGCAACAAAGAAATATTGCAGTGGCTGCTCGGCTAATTTGGATGGAGACAATTTTTTTGTTTCCCGTTAGAGACATTAACATCACTGTAATTCTTCTGCCGAGGTCAGGATTAATTACAGCAGCTTTTTATTTCAAAAGCTGGTTTGATGTTACAGCTCTTATATCAAATGTGAGTGAAACAATCAACAGTTCTCTGGACTTATTTTTGGTTCTCCCCTATTTTAAGATATGTTTGAAGAGTTTTTGCAATAAATACTCCCTTCATCTACTTAATTTGGAAGTAATCTCTGATCATTTCTCATCTTCTTAACTGCATTACTTCAGAATGATTTCATCCCAGGTGGTGACCTCATAAAATCCAGTGTCAATTAATGGAAGCCAGAAAGCCTTGGGTTGTGTGGAAAGTGAGAAAATAAAAATAAAATACACATGTGCTGGCAATAGTAACTTTCTTTGACTCATACCTGAGAGTTTAGTTTGTTCAGTTGAGACTGTAATCTCTCATTAATTTTCTGCAATGCTTCCTTCTCCTCATTAAGTCTTTCTCTGTCAGATCTCTCCTTTCTGAAGTCTTCTTCATATATTTGTACCTGCAATCATTATGACCAATATGTGAATTTCAGCAGAGCCACAATGGAATTTTCACCCACTTTGTTGTCTAGTTGCTTTTTTAGACACTGGCCAAGCAGCAGGGTGCATTCCAAAGGAATGCATCTTCTTTATAATCCTGCAACCAAAAGTTTCTGTCATCTTTTTTGATGACCAATACAAAATGACAAGCAGTGGCTATTCTCCAATGGTACCCATTAATCACAACAGTTCTCAACTTCAGTATTCATAGACTCTTGTCATTTAAAAGGCTGTGTGGCACATATTAGTTTTAAATATTATAAATAAGAGAGCAAATACTAAAGACATTGATCTTTTTAAGGGATAAATAGTAGCAGGACAAACATTTTACCAACATTTTTTCTGATTTTGTCTTCAATTATGAGCACTTTTAACTCTCCCCTGTATCTCAGATACAAGAAGTTAGCATCCTAGTGGAGACAGGAGGTGCTGGCATAGCACAAAACCCCTAATTCTAGCACGCCCTCTGACAGAACATCACCACCTCGTCCAAACTAATGATAAGCCACAATCATTAAATTACATCCTGCCTTTTTGTAGCCAAATAAATATGCAAAAGTGGCCCAAAGGACTAATCTCTATGGCACAAGTGATAGCATTTAGAGCTGTGGTCACATATTAATGACCAGAGGACTTGGACTAGTCAGGACTGTCAAGGGCTTTAGACCTTGGCTAGAGCATTGTGGGGAAAAAAACCCCAGAACTAGAGAAGGCTTTTACACCCCAGATGTTAGAAAATGTACATGTAAAAAACAATTGCTCCACATGTACCTTTTGTCTGCAATATAGGACTTCTAATTCATCCTCTCAAACTTCATGTGAAAGAACCTACTCAGCACAGTGCAGAAACAGAGGGGAATGTTATGCAGAATTCAGTATGGAAACACAGAGGTTTGGCCCTGTTCATAGACAATAAGCTTTCACATACTGAAGGCTTAGCTCTTTTTATATCACCAGGAGTCACAGCACGTCACCCCATTCTAAAATATCTGACTACCCCAGGCACAGGCAGCAAGTGCACGGATTCAGAAGCGAAACACAAATCCCTTAATGAACTGGTGTTAAATCGACTGGTTTAATCTTCAGCTAATGGGCAGACGTCCACCTAGCAAGAAGCTGGAGGCACTTCTGACAAATAATGGCGAAAGCACGTTGGGGTGAGAACCACCACCAAAACTTTCAGAAGTCCCTTCATGTCCTCTTGGTTGGTGACTGAAGCCTGCTGACAGTGTGTTTCCAAAGAACTTGCTTGCTGTGGCTCATGCCCAGTTTTCTTTTTGCTGGCAGCAGCACTATGACTTCACAGGAGGACTAAAGAAATGTTAATAACTCCGGGGAAGAAAAAAGTCTTCAAGGGGCTCTATAAATTATTTTCACGACTTGCCTGTTGCAGGTAATTTTTGCAGGGTTTTTTTGGGAGTCAAGGGTCCCCCACTAGATATAACCCCCTTCCTGAATAACACTGTGTGAAAGGAGCAAAGGCTTTCTGTGTGGCCGTGTGGGGACTCAGCTCCAGAGCCTGTGCCTGGAGGAGGCGTACATGCCCCTGACCCTCCAAGTCAGAGGCAAAGCTGTTGCTTGCAGAAACCTAGGTCTCTTGGATCCCCTGTCTATCTACACACTTCTCTGCTCAGTATTTCTTCATTTCTTCTCTCCCAGTTCCCTCCCCTGCTGTCCCACCTCCCAGCTGTACGATCTGCTGAACCGGCAAGGGAACCACTTTGTCACAGTTTTGCCGTATATTCTGTTGTCCTGAGAAAGAGAAGGACACCTCCCAAGGAATGAATGCCTTCATCTCTTCTGTCGTGGCCAGGGGTGGACTGATGACAGCCAAGCTGTAGTGAGGCTCTGTCATATCACTATTTGTCCCTCCTCTGTACAGTTATAGCCTCCTGCTCCATTTTGTGTAGAAGGAAGTCTGGAGTCACTATAATGATTTATACAACTAGAAAAATACATTCATAAAATGGATACCCCATGAGAATTCTGGAGGGAAAAAAAAAGTTTACTCTATTTTATTGTGTAGAATGAAATAACTCATTACTGTACAATCAAGCGCAGGATTTTATTCTCCAGCATGTGGCAAGCATTACATTAGAGAGCAAAATCTGGCTCTGCTGTCAAACGTGACAGAAACAAGTATTTTATTCCCACTGAATAAAATTCCCATTCTCATCACATCCATTTGTGTGTCAATTATGTTAACCCTAACACTGTCCAGGATGACAGACCTAAAATGTAAAATTATCTGAAAAGTCTCATGTTTTTAAACAGATTCTTTCATATGGGAAGACAAAGAGTGCACAAAGCACTTGAATGGCTCCAAACAAAGATTAAAAAAATAAATACACTTCTCTATAGTGATTGGTATGCAGGCTACAGATGCAGATGCTTTGCCTCACACTTTGAGAAACTGCAATGCCAACACACTAGTTTTCCAAGACCAGGATTCTTAGATAATTCACCAAACTTTTAACGTCTAAGAAAAAAGGAACACAATCAGTAAGTTTAGCATTCCCTCCTGATGAAATTCAGCCCCTAACAGAGAGCTGGCAGGACATCTCCGAGACTCAGGAGAACCATGCTGCTGCTTTGAATCCTGCACAAGTCCTTGCTCCAGTCTTTTGCAAGGACTTAGTCGTACTTCATAGACATGCTGTGATGACAGCATCTTAGAAAAGACCATGGCTAAACTGGTTCTTCCTTTCACAAGCTCTACTTAGTAAGTCTACCAGGCACGGTTCTTGGGAGAGAGGGCAAAAATACGCTGTATGAAATCTGTCGAGGCTTACTTCCAGCCATTCTCACCTGCTGTCTGAGAACTTCAAGTTGGGTTCTCATGTCCTCAAGGCTGTTTCTGCCTCCCTTCGCTGAAGGATTCCCTAGTACAGGTGAGTGCTGCTTTTTCAACACATCCAGAAGGGCCTGAAACGTCAAACAGCAAAAATTACTAATCAGAGATTCACAACATTGAAAAAAAAAATCCTTTTGAATTATTAGAATGCTCTCTAGATAAACACAAATTTCTGGTGGTTTTCCCTTCACTTGCAGTTGCTTCAACTATATACATTGAACATAAACCCCATGAATAACATATATACACGACTAGGTCCAAAATTTCCAAGCACACACATTACATTTGTGAATTTGAGACAGTTTAAGGGACTGTACTTTTTACTTTCAACTATAACCAACATTTACCTATGGAAATCATAGCTGCAAATCTCACTCATAAACACCATTTTCGCGTGCAAGCCAGAACGTGTAAAAACAAAGGCTGGTTTCTAAACTCAGCTGAGGCCAAAAACAAGCAAACAAAATCCCAAAGAACGTTAAAGCAACATTTAAAGATGCCCTAATATGTAACTACACTGAAGTCTGACTGAAACATATTTTCACTAGGAGTATTTCTTCAACTGGAACTGAAGGAAACCCAGCAAGAAGTTCTGTAGTCTCTACAGCTTGTCACTAGAGGGAGTTATGAATACACACACTACGCTGATAACGCTCCAGTTTTCACTCAAATTTTTAAATCACTCTTACCCCTCTCTGTCTATAACCACACACTACACACACATTTTTTTTACTCCTGGACAAATACTCACCATTCAGCATTGTTCAATGTCCCTCACATAAGATATGAACTCAGCTAACTTCATACACTTTTGAAAGTTCAATTCCTGCTAACGATCCCCAGCTCTCTCTTGCTGGCCACACTCCATTCATGAAATAAGGGAAGGAGGGAAGATAATTTGGAGGGGGAAAGACAGAGAGGAAAGTGGCCAAGCAGGAGAACAAGTATCTAAAGTAAACCAAGGATTAGTATTATCCTACGGCCAACAAAAAAATATTCTACTAAAAACTAAAACTAAAAAAATTAGCACTTTCCATGGAGAGAGAGAAACAGGAAGCCTTTTATCTGATGAGCTACTGTCCCTAAGAACTGTGCAGAAGAGAAACTGGTATAGTAGTGGCCGAGTTTGTGTACCATGTCAATAGATGAGTTGACCATAAACATGGGAGGATGACGATACAGGTAGCTTACTGATTAATTCTCCTTTTGCCCTTCTGAGCCGCTGTTCAATATATTGTCACTATATTGACTATTCTTCTTGCAGCTCACTTTGTAGAATCGTACCATCATATGGATGTATTAGGTATTTGGGCAATTCTTCAGGATTTTTTATTTTTGGGGTTTTTTTTGAGGAGATTCTACATCTCAGAGTTGGGGGGGGGGGGGGGGGGGTACCACACAGAAAAATCCAGAATATTTGAACTTCAAAAAGTTGACAGTAGTGAAAAATAAGGTGAGGATTTTTTTAAACCTACATTTGGAAGCAATATTGCGAGACCATATTGTATCATTTCAAATAAAACACAAAACTGCAGCATGAATAAAGCTGAACTGGTTTAAGGTCATACTAAATCCTGATCAAAATCTTTAAGGAAACATCGTAAGAAGATTGAGAAGTGCTCTGTGTGTGTGTAAACTTTTGTAATGTTGCTATTAGATCAATAGCAAAGTATTGATAATTATGCCATAAGAGATTTGGGTTCCTGTGTATAAAATGGAGACTAAACACTACTAAAGATCATATTCAAAGATGTAACGAATACATTTCTTTCAAAATTCCCATCACTTTGAGCTGACAAAAGGTGGGGCTGTTTTAGAGTAATTTATGGAAGAAATGAAAATGTTACTGTTCCACTGGTTTTAAAAAAATGATGCTGATTAAAATTATCTTGAGATACTCGAAATGAAAAGTAAATAAGATATCTTAAATATTTAACTAAGACTTGTAATTTCAAATTATCAAATCTGAGGAATGACAAAGAACTTCAAAGCACCTTCTAGAATGGTCCTGTACGCAATTTTTTTCAGATCATTTGGCTATACCTACTTCATTAGAAGTCAAAGTATAAAAAAGCCCAACCAAACCAACCACTCCCCTGCCCCTCAGGATATCGTATCTCCAGGAAGCTGAAAAAAATTGTGTAGGAAAATGCTTGAGGAACAACTATGTGAATAATGTCAAGAAGAAAAATTAAAATGCCTTTAGGGACTGAAAAAAGGATTTAATCCTAATAAAAGCTACCACTTTTGGTACCTTGTAGATGAAAGTGCAGGCTAAGAGAGACAGTCACACTGAGTTGTGTGTTGCGAAATAAATTAAACTATAAAATACTAATTTTTTCCTCCTTATAAAAATGAGTTCAAGAATGAAGGCATCACACAGGAAAGCAAACCTGAAAACAGTATTTCTGATAGGAAGACAAACTCAGAGCAGTGTGGCAGTGTTAGGATGGCTAATAACAAGGAAGATGTATCAGTGAGAAAGAACTCACAGCTCACTGAGTTAAATTGAGCTTAACTTAATGTGGTGTTAAATAACATTCATTCAGAAGTACTGAGAACTGAAACCTGAAATTGCAAGACGAGCAGCACAGAGGTTTTCTGACTTTTTTCAACATCAGAAAAGGAACTGTATGACTGAAAAATAACTACCTTGGTTTCCAAAGCTACAAGAAAGGTAAGTGTTCCATGCACCTAGAAAACTCTTAATACTCTGGATGACTGGATTTAAGTTGCATGAAGCCAAAGGTAGAAAGGTCAATGTACTTGGAGTAAAAATGTTAATGTACTTAGAAATGAGCAGCAGTGTCTTCCATAAGCTGAGACCTAAGCAGTTTAAAATGACTGAGATGAAAAACAGTTGTATTTTCAAACACCAAAAGAGCTGGGTCAGCTTAGCTAAACTGTCCACTAGTGAAAATTCAATTGCTCTCTGTAGCTATAGGCAAAGAGCAAGTACCCCTGAGGCCAGTCATATTTTCACTGGGGGACAGTTCTGCTTCACAGAGAGAACACATCTGCTTCGCACAAGGAGTGAAGCAGATCTGTGTGACACTACTACCACCAGAAAACCAAATGAATATCACCTAGCCAGAATAAAATCAGCCCAATTGAAACACATGAAAGCATCTCATGAAAGAAGGGTTGCAGTTTAATAGCAGCCTCCTAACACAAGCACAGTAGAAAGAGCTTAAGTAATTTTAAGGAAAAAGTTGATTGATTTCAGAGAATTTATAAGAACTTCCAGTCACTGAACCTGTGATAGCAGGGGACTAGACTTAAAAGAGCACAGAGGGTCTCTTCCAGTCATATTTACATTCATGACATGAGATTTGAAGAATGCAAATAAACAGAAAATCAGTAAATTACTCATGAGAAAGCATGTTACATGAAATTCATGTTCCATTTCAAAGAATGTCTATTTACCCATCTGTCTTAGTTCCAACCATATCATAAGACAGCAAAATAAAACACTGAAATAAGTTATTTTACAAACAAGACCTCGAATGAAAGTTATACCGAGGACTTTGAGCAAGTCCTGTCAGTGCATTTCCAAAAGAGCCAGAGATCATATGTTCTGTCAGATTTTTTTATACAGCAACATGACATTTTTGCCTAGACTTTTGCACACCATGGCCCTTTAGCTCATGTAGCATGAAGTTACACAGCCATGGTTACTGTAGTGCATTTCCTCAGGAAGTGTTTGTGGTTCACCATGAAATATAAATTGCTAGAAAACACCCACTGCTTCATGCGATCTTTTGATTAAACAAAGTAACATTTATTACTTTCCCTCAGTTAAAAAAAAAACATTAAAAAAATCCCATTTAGCTATTTGATGGCAGTATCCTCGATGAGATAGATACGCATAATACTTCTATGCATGTATATAAAAAGGAAGACAGGAGCATGTCTTGTGAAGAGAAGCCATTATTCTCAGACATGGAATATATGTAAACCAACAGATTTTAAACAGTCTGAAATCTTGTTTTAATCACAGTGTTTCACTGGATGCATATGAAAGCATCTTTGTGCCATTTCTCTTTTGTTCTAAGAAGGTAGAACGTAGAAAGAGCTTAGATATGACATATAGAGAGGTTTCACAGGAGAAGCCAAGGATTCTTTTAACTCCTCTTTACAATGCAACCCTACTACCTGCCAAGAACAGCATGCACAGGTTATTAGCTAAAGTAAGGTCTTGCTTGTTTCCCCAGCTCCCAAATAGTGATCATGAGTTTGCTACCATGAACAGGTTGTTCACCCATGATTGAAAAGATCGGCATCTGATAGTGGCACTGCTTGACAACAGAGACCGTAGCATTAAAGGTAAAGGTCTTGGTCAGCAGCTTACCCCTGTTCATACCTTATTGAGACGACTTATTTCACACTCATAGTGTTCTTTCTTTCTCACCATCGAGGCATTCTTCTGCTTCAGGAGCCTGTTCTCTTCCTTCATTTCATGAAGAGCTTCGCTAAGGACCTTTGTTTCCTTCTGTGATGCAAAAATACAGAGAGATGCTGCTGAAATGCAGATGGAAACACTTTTCAAGAACAATTTTCAGAATATCTGCTGTCTGGCAGATGTGCTGCATTTTTGTTGTCCCAAACACAGCTGGAAAGGGAGGCACAGGAAGGCGGATCATTAGTAAACACCAGATATGATAAAGTTTGTTAAAATTGTTTTGACCACTCACCATATGATGAGACAGAGACAACATACTAGACTAAATCCCTGTTACCTACAGTCCGCAGTTACACAAAGGCATAAGAAAGCTGTCAGACCAAGCAGATCAGTACCAGTTTGGGACGATTATCCCAACCCTGTATTATCCTTATGTACTTGCAATGTTAAGCCAGGCTTAAACACTGGTAAAGTCCCAGCAGTTCCCACTGTTATACAACATTGACGATGAAACCAGATCTCAGTATCACATAGTATGAGGGCTATTTCCACTACACAAGAGACTGAGGCAGCTCTCAGGCCACTCAAGGATTACCAAGCTACCAAGAAAGACTTCAAAATCCCTTTTATTTGACCCCATCACAGTTGTTGTTGACTTGAGCTTGACCCTTCCTAGTGCGTGTGCCTACACTGTTGCCATCCCAGCAAAGTAGAGGATTTACACACTCGTCTTTCGAGATGATATTATAGGAATTTTTAGGAATTATTAGGACAGATTTGCCAGACTTTGATTCTCTTCTCCTATCACTCACACCATGGCTATTTTCAATTTACAGTGAAGGGAGCTAAGATCTGAATCAAACCCTGAAGCCAATAGCATTTTATAAGCTTCTTTCACAGGGTAATGCATTCCTCACTAGCCCACTTTAGCCAGACTTTCTTAGACCAAAGATACTCAGACATATGAAACAGAATGGCTTCTTCTACAAAAAAAGAAAGTATTTCAAGTGTTATTCTGCATCAGCTTTATATGATGAAAAAAAAAAACCCAAACAAAAAGAGATCCAACAATCACATGCACAGGACCCCATATAAATGCTTCTTTTTCTGTGCAACAGGCGTATCTCTGTGCAGCCAGCTACTAGACATTTACAGTTTGGGCTCATGAGAAGTGCATCACCGTGTGCTAATTTAGCCAGTGAAAAACACCCTCGAGATACTGTTGCTCACACATGAGGTACTTCTGTTTTCCTTTGGCCTAAGTTACTTGGAAGATTGCATTTTCTCCAAAAGCTGGGCAAGATCAGCAGGCTATGTCTGCTTTAAGTATAGGAACTCACCCAAGAGCTAGCTCAAGCTGGCATGTGCATGTGCGTTTTAAGATATTAAAGAAAAGCAAAACACGAAAATCCATACAGGCTTTTAGCTATGCTCTTCTCTTCACCTTTGCCTTGCTCTTTTCCTAGCTCCTAGCACACATTCTCCTTCTCAGAGGCTGACACCTCCAGGAACATGGCCTCTTTTATAACTGAAGATTTTCAGTTTGTTCAAGTTTTTGCACCATCTGAATTCTTATGTCCTATCGCTTCTTAGCTGACACCGAATCTCAGGTGTTATGGCACTCAGACTTCCCAGTGATTAGGTTTGTCTGATTCCTCTCTATGGGTACTTAGTCATACTCAGAGAGGGGGGAAAGAAAATTAAATCTCCAGAACAGCCATTTTTCCTCTGTGGGCCATGGAGGACATGAGGACAGACAAAACTCACATTATCATTCTATGAGAGACATACCTCCAGGTGCATTAAAAAAACCAAGACAGCTCTGTAACACAGCATCATGTAATCTGTCTCAGGGTTGTTTGGTGCTGCTGTTTTTCCTAAATGGCTCAGCAGAGCATCCAGAGAACTGCCACTCTGAGTAAACAAATTTAAAAGGTACTGTCAGGCTGCTAGACCAGATAAGCAAGTAGAGAACAAACATCTTATTATTTTGCTCTGGTAATTGCCCTGTACAGCCCATTCCAGCTCTGTAGCTACAGCTCTTTAAAAAAGAAAGGGTTATTACCTTTCAAGAAAAGAAAAATATATATATACACACACATATATATATAAAAAAACTCTAATGCAGGCATGAAGAATGTTAGTTGCTGCTCATTCAACAATCTCTACTTTTAGCAGCTACCTTTGCAAACGTCTGTATCTCCTGCATGACAATCAAAAAGTAAAGAAATTCAGAATAAATAGAAGCAGTTACTGGCTGAGAATATAATTTTTGAAGGAATTGATAATCTAGGGCTGAAGTTCCAAGCAAGTTAACCTGTCTCTGTAAGAGATTTTTGGATTATATTGTCATTCAGTTCATTATGTGGTAAAAAAAATGGGAGGGTACTGCTTCTCCTTACCTTTTCATAAAGGCAGTAAAAAACTTTGTAATAGGAACAGGACAATGGATTGTCTTGCACTGAATCCACACTCGGAGCAAGTACAGGCAGTGATACAGTAAGTGCAAAACAGCATAGTTTGCTTTAAAACATGTGAACAGTCCAACTGGTTGGAAACCAAGTGCTTAGCTAAGACCATACCATAATTGACAAGCAAGCAAGATGAATGTTCTGTTTATCAAGATAAAAGCTAAGGGCTTTGCATTTGCTTTCCTGCAGCAGCTAACTTACATCTTATCTGAGCTTGGAAGCAATGTGACTGCTACTTCTTTTCAGGTTTGTTTCACGTTATCAAGTGAATAGAGAACATTGACTTCAGCTGTCAGAGTACCATCCAGACACTCTTACAAGAGGTTACGAAATGTGTGATACCATGAAGCAGAATGAGAATAGGAGGCACCACTCTTTAGTGCTTGCAAAACAGGGCACAAAGTCTTGCATATACATTGGGCACACTTGCATATACATTGGGTGGTTTTACTGGGCTGGGAATTCAGCTTAGGGAGCTAATTTAAATGTGAATGCCTACACAAAAGCCAATGCCAAAGGGGTCCTGAGAGAGTTGCCCAACCACTCTCAGGGTGAGGTGAATGCCACTCTAGAGCAGCAGATCAGCCAAGGCACTTTCAGCACTAATAATGGCACTACCTACCTCAGTAACATTTACAGGGAGCTGAGATAGCTAGCACATGTATAAAAACCTATATTGCAATACCAAAATGTGGTTGTCTGGAGCACTTGGTGTAACATCAGTAATGATATTCCTGCTCCATTTGAAATTACTCTAACATTTTCATTCACAAAGATACTCACCCCAAACTGAGCAGCTAGGAAGGAAATCTCTGCAGTATTCATAACAATGTGCTCTTTATTCCTTCTCCCCCCCTGCCCAGTCCTGTCCTCTCTGTCAATTCGTATTGAAATGACTCTATACATAGTTCACTGATCAGACAGAAGATCAGCCACTGCCTTGGGTACAATACTGAAGAGCACTCAGTACCACAATCTCATCTTACAGCAGTGCAACAACCCACGTCCTGTCACTCATGAGAAGAGAAAGAAGAAAAGCAAGACAGGGTTCAACACTGTGCACAAACGGGGTGACAGACTGCACCCTCCTACCATTTCCTGCAGCGGCTGCTCTCTGCCCGGGGCTCGCAACCTCTCAGCTTCTGGATGCTGTCGGTGCCTCTTTTCCTCCAGTTCACTGACTCTCCTCTCTGACACGTCCAGTCTTGCTTTCATTTCTGCCAGCTGAAAAGCAAATGACAGACCATGGTGAGCCAACAAAGGATCCTGAAAGCTACAGCACCTTGAGGGTGCCATCAAATGCTTTCAGCAGGTCAGCATAACGGAGTGGACCTGGTTGCGTGTAAAGTCCCCCTTTCCACCTCCAAGCTTCACTGCTCTGACTGCAGTGGAGACTCTTAATGATCCTGGGCAAACTCTCTATTGGTGTTAACCCAGTTGGGTCTCTCAGTGTTTGGCTGCCAAAGGCCAGTTACCATGGGTCTGTCCCTCTGGATGGATTTTCCATTTTAATGTTTTTATTTTCCCATTTGCAGTTTGGATTCCCTCTGCAGTGGTGCACATCCGAACGAACTAGCCAGAGGCAGAACACAGTCCTATGTTAAAGAAGGAAGAGCCATTTAAATTCCTCTTCTATTTTGGGATATTAAAAAGAAAAGAAAAAAATCCAAGAAATGATCCAGATCTCCGTAAAGCTTACTGGTAAATATTACGAGAGAAAATTTTCCTGATAAGCACATGAGGTCATTATGCAAACTTCCTCTTCATAGAAAGAAACAGGAGATGGGAAGTGTCAGTCAATGAACCAACTTGGTTTTTTGAATACCAGGCAAAACTGGAAGTGGCCAGCTTCACCAGGCAGCTGCAAAAAAAAGTGAAGCTACCACACAGCCACCAAGCAAGGAATGAAATCTATGCCAATGGGATCTTGGGGAAAAAAGAATAAGAAAAGAAAAAGAAACAAAAAGCATTTATTCAGTTGGGGTTTTTTGTTGTTTTGTTTTTTTTTTAATTAAAAGCTTTTGTACAGAGCAGTTTCTCAGAAGCAATAGTCTCTCTGCTTATATATGGCAGCATTCATGAAGGATTTATCTGAGTGCTCCCCCGTTACAGGGATATCCAGTGAACTTCCAGGCTTCATAAGCCAGCTACAAGTGATGGGACAAGAGCCAATGGATACGTGATGATGTGGATCAATGATTAAAAAAGTCATGAAAAGCATGAAGATTTCTGCTGTCGTGTCCACCCTGGTCCTGACCCGGTGAAGCCCTGCTTCTCTGGTTGCTTTGTCCTACAGAAGATTGCGCACACATTAGTTTCACTTCTACATGATGAAGCCTTTTTGATTTGTGAGCTAAAAGACAAAACAAACATGATGCCTTTCCCCCTGAGATATTTACTGTAGCTATGGCTGGTTGATATTTAAGCACAAACTTAACTGTCTGCAGCTGGCATACATATTCCAATAGAAGTAGTAAACGTCATTACCTGTTTCTCATAAAGCTGTTTCATACTTCTAAATTGATGATCCCATTGCTTGTTCACCTCCAAAAGCTGCAATTATCAGGAAGTCACAGTAAATATCCCTTATTTCAACATTGTCAATAAATACAAAATAGACTGGCATTCTAATCCTCCAGCTATGAGTGTTCATAACCTCCTCGCTATCTGGCCAGTTCATTTCAGAAAAGCAAGCTTAAGGTTTGGCAAGCCTTATGGCCATCTGCCAGGGCTTTGGTATTTCAGATAAAGCACATGAACGCTGAGGAAGTAACATTTAGGAAACGTGCAAATACACAACACAGGTGAATCATCTGCAACGCTGTACAAGTCCCAAGCTGCAACTCCTGAACAACCAAGGACTTTCTTGTTAGTTTGCTCTAAGCTCCATAAACATATTTCCAATTAAGAGGTCTCTGACTTCAAACAAGCAAATTGAAAACTCCTATTGACTGCAATCGGTACTGGGTGCAAACCCCATTTGCCTTTCTCAGTAAGCTTGCAAGATGGGAAGATCAGCTAACTCCAGGCATAGAAGTGGCAGGAGTGAAGTCAGTTTGCCTGCATTTTTATTGGAGAAAGCCAAATAGGTCCCTTTGAAGCATTATGCTTTGTAGGATTTAGGATCACTCTTCAGGGTGCTCAGCAACAGAAGAGCTTACAGCTGGCTGCTACCTGTGACCAAGATAAAACTGGTTACTACTCACAGTGGTTCCTTCGCCTTCACAATAGTGATAATTAAGAAAAATTGCCCTTTGTCCCATAGAAATCTCTGCTTTTCTCCATTCATAGCTGCATTGCAGGAAGACATCATTTGTTTTTAGGAACAGTTCTCCAAATATAACTCTGCCTAGCTTGGTAGAGAGAGTAGGACTATAGGAACTAGTTTAAACATAATTTTAAGTGCTTGCGCACTTAGGCCTGGGAAGAAATGCAAAGCAGAAAGTACCCACAAACAATTTGTCTCATAAGAGCACAGGATGAGATTCCCACATGAAGAAACATAGGCCCGGCTGGACAGGTGGGTAAAACCAACTGCAGCATAAACAAAGAGTAAGTAACAGTCGTAACACAATCAGCGATTTCGTGTCCAGGACATGTTACTGATACTGTGATATCTGTCTTACAGGTTATATGTGTAAAGGTTAAGAGTATACTTGAGATTACCTCTCGTCTCTGTCCTTCTAGAGAGAGGATCTGTTGTTCCAGAGAACTGGCTGATACAGTCTTCTTTTTGGTCAGCAATATGTGCCTTGACTGGAGAAAAAAAACATTCAAAAATGAATGCTTTCTTCATCCTCTCTTCAAGCCAAGATTATCATATAAAACTCCCATCCACCCCGACATGAGCATGTAAAGAAACTGAAACAGAAGCATTTTCTTACACTGCATTTGTATTTCTGTACCTTTACACCTGCTGACAGCAGATTCTGAAGCGTACATCTGCTTTAACCCTGCTTAGTCTGTGTTTTAATTGAAGCATTATGCAAATGGCAGTGAAATAAACAAAATTTATGTCTATTTGTACCATCTGAGACATAGAACACAAAATAGGATTTTAATTATCTTACAGATGGTAATATAAACAAGTAGTACAAACCACAAAAGTTGAGCATCAATTGAAGTGGGCTTAAGTAATTCCCTTCATTTACAAGAACTAGAATAATTAGTAGTATTGCCCCTGGTAAGTGCTTGCAGGCCCAAGGCAATAAACTTTAGCACAATGGGTTCAAAACAAGCAGTACAGAAAACGAACAGGCCATTCTGAGAAATTAGGAAATCAGTCTGCAATTGTTCCACTTTTTAAAGCATGGAGTTTTGCCAATGCAGGACAACAGCTGCTAAACCCTCATTTTTATAATGGCAATGTCGTATATCGTACTTTCCAAGAAGTTTCTATGGATTGTCATGAAAACAAACATGTGATCTATTAGGTGTGCATGTGTGTGTATATATATGTCTCAAGAGAGCTGTACTGGAAAAAAGGTACACACTCATGAAAACAGAACATAGTTTGTTCAGATACATGCTCAAGGATTCTTTTTTCCCTCCCTGAATTTTCAGCCAATATATAAGAAAATAGAATAAAGGTATGAGCACTTCTGAGGCCTTAAATCTCCTAACATTAATTCATTTTCTTCACCTAGACAATTTAATACCAAAAACCAATGAAGATGATCAAATAATAGTTTGTTGTGTTTTTTCATAGGCACAAATCCTGACTGTGTATTTGCTCCATGGTCAGTCCTGCTGAGCTCTAACGTGGAGCACTTGACTTCCATGCCAGAAAACACTCAAGCCCTCTTCCTATGGAAGTTCATCAACATGTTTAATTTAAATATCTGAAGCAATTATCTGGCAGCAAATGGAGTTACTCACGAATGAATTACATGTTAAGTGCACGTGTTAAGTGCACGTTTAAGAGTTCTATTAAAGCGAATAGGACAACTCACAAGTCTAACAGCTTTATGTACACTTGGTGCCAAATGGCCCAAATTCTGATCACAGAAGTTGTTAGGTCACTAAGATGAACCACTTTCTAGTCTTTGTATAATAACAAACTAAAGTGACCAGATACCTTTTTGGGGGAGAGCGGAAATGCTAGGGAAGGTTTTCTTCCTAAGAATGCCATATCTAAAAATATTTCTAACATTTCCTTCTACTCTTAAACAACATAAAACATTCGAACAAATCAACTGGAACAAAACTTGAGCCTGTAATTGTCGATTTACAAAGTGACATGTATGATATCTGCTCAAGCTGTTCCTGTTAATCAAGCAGCATTTCAGAGAACAGTCAAAACAGTCACTTACTTCTAGTGGGTCTGCTGGGGCTTCCATGTCACTCACACCTGCCCGTGCACATCCAAGACGGTCCTGAGCATTTGCTTCACTATGGATCTTTGGAAGAAAAGCAATGAAACAGATATTTTTTGTTGGCTAATGGAGCAGGACAATTGCATGAAGACCCTGAAGATCTGCGAGTGCTGCCTGTGGAAGCAGCCGAGTCTCAGAAATAAGTGGTGGAATTTTGATTTTAACATTTTCCTCCTTCCTGGCTGGGGCTTCCCAGAAGGGTTGAACCATGACAACCACCTATGACTAATATGCCAGGCAAGGCAGTACTGTGCTTAGTGTGCATGTAAATCACAATTGACTGACCAGTTCACCCCAAGAGAGGAAGTTGCATGTATAAGGGAAGGAAGGGTATGTTTTTTCTGTAAATAAGAAGACAGGGTTTTCTATCTCTGCTTCCAGCTGTAAAAAAAAGACTTACGTAAGTATGACAAGTATTAAGTGATATTAAGACAGTGTGAACTATGACAATAGAAAAATCAGTGAGTCATGCTTATAAAGGAGTAAAAGTGAAGTCTGTTAACAGCTGTGGGGAAGAGTCCTCCCATACAATCCCCAAGATGTTTAGGGGAAAACCATAATTGGAAAATGTGCTTACTTTCCCTGAAGAAAAGCTGCATAAAGATGAAGAATGACAGGCGGAATTATTCCTCTCCTAAAGACATCATATTTGCAGTTCTAGTACTTACCTTATCTAAGCATGGATCTAGCTTCAAGCTCTCCAAGTCTTGAGTACTCAACACTTCAAACTTGAGTCTTAGTTTCCCTTTTGGGAAAAGAGGTTAACCTTAAACTCATATGAAAGGTTAATAAAGAAGAGACTTCCATAGACCTCACGTACAAAAAACGAAATAGAAAAGTGCCAACTACTGTCATCTTCACTCTTGGAATTCTGCGTGATGATGGATTTGAGAAGGAAGCATGGAAAAAAAAGAAGGCATTTTCCTTTTTGTGGAAAGATCCCTGGGTCTGAAGCTTTTTCAGTGGGGACAGATGTTGCTTATTTCCTTTTGAAGGAATGGAAGCTATCCTGTGAAATTTGACATAAAATAATATAAATCAGTGGGAGTTCTTTCAATTTCCAAAAAAGGATTTCAATAAAGTGAAGTAATCCTGTGAAATGCTGGAATTCAACAGCCACATTCCAGATCTCTGGTTCATAATGTGTGACTAAGCAGCTCCTCTTTTGCAAGACACAGTACCCCATTTGGAAGGAAGCTATTATCTTAGAGTATATGCATATGAAATATGTCCTCCCTAGCCTGATGGGGTTTTTATATTTTTTTCCTGGTTTATGGAGCAGCTGAAAAACTTGCAGGGTATAAAAAGAGAAATTAAAAAGCAAATGATACTTTAATAAAGACATTTTAAATTCTACATAGGAGTCATCCTACCCATCAAAAAATAATTTCATCTGTACCTATACCAAAATGAGTCTTTGAGCATACCCTCCCAGGCACAACATTGGTTTAAAGAAGGAAGCAAACTACTGGCTGATAACACAGCAATTTCCACAATTGCATATCTGTAGTGATTATTATAAGAAATATGAGCCAGTATTGTCAGGTAATGAAGCGCAGTAAGGCTCTGTAGCACCAAAGCAAGGCTGAGTGGAACAGGAAGGCCGTCCTCCAGGAAGCAGACACGCAAGAAGGCTAACTTCTAAAATCAACAGACATACTGTGCTACCTGAGAGAAGGAAGAGGAAACACCATGCATTTTAAAACTGAGACTGAGTACTACATTATTGAAAGTTTATGCCAGCTCAAATCTTACACCTAATGACCTTGAAGCTCTTTGCAGAAGTAGGCAATAACCCTATCATACACATAGGGAAACAGACCAACTGAATGGTAAAGGTCACCAAGATATTAGTGTCAGATCAGACAATCATGGTCTCCTTTGATCCACAGTCTGTCCATCTGTCTGTGTGTCACAGACACACCTGCAGCATCAGCAGCACCTGCAGCATCAGCAGCACCTGCAGCATCAGCAGCATCTGCAGCATCTGCAGCATCGGCAGCATCAGTAGGCTGTCACTGCATCATTTTGTGTTCTGACTGTACTAAAGTTAGGGCATATGAAGAGTCAAGAGTCAGCTGCTAGAGGAGAGGATACTGTAACTAGACACAAATGACAGGAAGAGCAATTATCTGTGTCTTCTCACAACGTCCCCATACCTTGTGCTGGCCTGCTACATTCCTATAGATGACAAACTCATGGAAACAGAGTCTGTCTCTGCCTGTTAACCACCAACACTGAGCATCTGCTTCAAAAACATACAGCCAGGAAAATTCCACTTCGCACTCCTGCTCATGAGGGCAATGATTCTCAAGCACAGACATGTTCCCTCACCCCAGCTCAGCAGGCCCATCCCCATTCCAGCAGCAGCCAAGCTCTGGGAGAAGGCTTAGGCTGAACAGCTGTATGTAATGGTCTGGCCTGCTAAGTAAACCAGCCCCAGTTTCTGATTTCCCCACAACAGCATACTGCGATGTGCTGCCGGGAGGTGCCGAGCTGTCCCCAAGGCAGGCACAGAAGGGCAAAGCCAGGGCACAGCCCTGCCTGTGAATCACAGTTCCCACTTGAAAGATAGTAGTGCTCAAGAGAGGATGAGGCTAAGACCCTGGAATGCACACAGTTGTTACCATTATTTAGTTCAAAATGGTCTCTTGGAAAGCTGAGTAGTTTCCTGGAGAGCTAGGTGGGCATTAGGACACCAAGTCCTTTGTTACTGGTATCTTAATGCCTGTACTAACAACTACTGAAAGTGAATGATTCTTTCTTGGACTGGAGGATTTGAAGGTGCCACTTACAGGGATTTTAACCAGTTACAACACTGTTCCTTTCCACTTACCCCACGATGCTGAGAGAGCTGGGGAGACCTGGGGTTAAAGGTGAAGCTATTGGAAGAGAAGAGACTAGAACAGCAAAAACACCTCCATATTCCTGCCTTTCCATGCCGAAATGACCCGCACATTTGTCCATTTTCACTCTTTGTGAGCCTACCACAGTGACTGAGCAGCAACAGTCATTGTCCTTTCCCACACTAGTGATATGAATGAGAGTTTTGAGTTGTGTTGCTGTTTGCTGGAATAGCTTCTTTGCGTGCAGTTTGGCACTGCCAGTGAATGCAATTTATACTGGGCTCATTAGTTTGCATGACATTACCATCTTGTTTTGAAAGATGTATTGCTCCCTGCTAACAATCAACAAGCTCTGAGCCTGGCATGCCTCTGTGGAAGCTCTTCACTTTGTTACTGGCCTCTTACCCTACGTTTACACATTAAAAACAATGCCAAATGTTCTTGCACCATCTTAACTGTTAGTCTTCACTACAAGTATTCTTTTACAAATATGGTAGAGTTCAACCAACATTAGGTACTCGCCATTGCCTACCTAGGCAAGCTGAGCATTCATACAGATACCACCGATGACCCTTGCACTTTGCCCAAAGTCAAATGCCTTTTAAGAGACTGTAGGAAATATCATGTCCAGGGCAACAATGTGCTGTTCAAGAACAACAGTGCTGTTCAGTAGAAGAAACATCAATGAGTAAGGAACAGTAGAGAACACTCTCTTGCCACAGACAACTATAAATCAGATTTTACTGTGGTGAAATCATACCTGTTACCATGCAATATCAAGACTTGCTAAATGTGATGTAACAGCAATGACAAGCTGGTCAGCAAGTTTTATAAATCCCAATCTTATGCTTGCATGAACCTTAATTTCCCCAATTATTTCATCTCTTCCTCTTTAAATGAACAAGTCAGTCTGTGTCATGGCATTTACTGGTTACACGGAAAATAAAATCACAAGAAGCAGACTGCAGGGAGGAATCTCTAAGTGGAGAAATACAGACTTTGCAACTCTTTACACTACAACTGCCTCCAACTCTTCCAGAAACACATGTAAAACCACATCATATTCTGCAGTGGATAGAGTTGTGTTACTTTCTATAGCCACCTTAAAATACACAGATATACAAGCCTCTAGCTGGAGTCCATCACACATTTTAGGGCAAGAGCATAAGTAACTTAGGTTCTCTTTCACCTATTTCTAATCGTTTACCTCTTCTTCAAGTCTCTCCAGACAGACACTTTCTTCAGACGTTCCTTCTATCCATCCCAAACAAGAAAATAAAACTTCATTACACCTGCTGCTGGGCTGAGACATGTAATTGTAGCATCAGCCACCACTGAATGTAGAATCAGAATATAATAAACTTTTCATTACATTTCAACGCAGTTCAAGTAAACAAGGAAAACAAAGCAGAGAAATGGAGCAGAGATCCCCGTATGAGCAAGTGAAGTTCAGTAGCTTAAGAAACTGAAGTTAATACAACAAAAACGCTCACTTTCTGCCTTTAGACCTGGTCAGATCTGGTTCCTTCTGGAAGAGTGGTTCATAATTTCTCACCTATGTTTATCACAAAAACGCTTCCTTAATGTCCAGTTGAGCCCTTCTGCTCCTTAGCTTTCTCTGCTCTCTATTAGCAACTGATCAAATCATCGTTAAATGTATGAAGAAAATACCCTGCACCTGCAAGTTTGACTAATAGTCTGAATCCTTCTGTAATGTCTATGAATCATAACTTAAATAATTTTAATTCTCTTAATCAGCATGAATTCTTAGTAAGACCTTTACCCAACTTTCTCCCACTCTTCACACTCTTGTTCTCCTCATTCGTACTCACGTACTTGGCCTATGAAGCATTTTCCTTGGCATTTATGATTGCTGCCCAGTGATGACAGAAGAGAACAGACTGTCTTGTATTACTTTAAATACTGGGGTGAAGGGGGAAGCATCCTTTTTTATGGCAATCAATTTGAACACACTCAGGGAAGAAAGTTTCAGATACTTTGGGCTGTGGCTGCCTGGCAGGGAGCTGGAAGCCAGAAGCTCCTGGGGAGAGACTGCTGTGAGGAGCAGAAATAAGCCAATCCAGGAAAAAGCTATGGAAAAAGCTTCCCAGGAAGCAAATGGGACTGATCAGGATTTGTTGCCCCTCAAGCTCCCCTAGTTAACTCACAAAAGGCACCATACAACCCTGCCTGCAAGGACAAAGTGAGCTGACCTGCTTAAAAGCTTTTTATTCATTACTATTCTATTTCTATGCTATTCTTTAACTTCTATTAGTAGCTACTTTGTGGTTGGGCTTTATTTCCCTGTTTAAAAATGAGAATTATCGTAGTTTCTACCCTAGGAAAACCCAACCCTTCTGAGTGTAAAAGCCTTTTAGTCATTTTTGGGAAGCTTGCAATAGGAGAAAAATCAAAGCCTTGGAGCTGTGACCAACACTGAATCCTCTCGCAGGCATTCGTACTACAAGAAGATAAAAGTTCTCATTTTCAGAGTGCTGGATCTTTATTCCAGGAAAAGCTTCTGTTACAGTATTACAAAACAGGCACTCAGAAGACAATGAAAGCTACTCGTCACTTCTGAAAATTCCATCTGTTCAGTAACTGCACTGAAACCAAGAAGCATTAAAAGGCTTAATTCAAGTAAAAGTGAATCCTGATAATCATAGAATCACAGAATCATAATGACAAAATGATTTTTCCCCCATCCCCCCTCCCCCCCCCCCACCTGAAACGGGAT